TCATGATACATTTGCCTATGTGGTTTTATACTTTTTTCTGAATATGATAGTAATTTTAGTCTTTCCTTCCAGGGACTGAAGGAGTGTCAACATATGCAATCAAGTCCATGCATTTCAACCACATGCTGACTCCAGAATTCTTAATATGAAGAGACTTTCTGAAGCTATGCTTCAAACATCTGCTATACTGTATTTCAAGTGACAAAAAAAAAAAAAAAAAATCTGAACACCCAATTTTACATGTGTTGCATCCATTTGCCTGAACTGTCATATTTTTTTTCACTGTGTACGTTTGAGATAAATCTGTGGAAAATGAAAGTAGAAAAAATAAATTAGTGTGTGAAATGTGTGCATAAAGAAGCTCCAAACTTAAGAATAACATAATCAATTACTACTACTTTTCTATTAAAAAGTTACTAACCAATTTCACTGAAAGTTTTCTGTGTGTATTAGTTCTAAGTTATGTTATATTCAACCTAAAACTATTACAATCTCAGTGATAGTTTTGGAGTTTTATTTATTTTTTTTTTTTTAAATTTTTCTATATACTGTATCTGCAAACTTACAGATTCTAGTACAAAAAACACACAATTTAGCCCAACCTCCAACATAAAGTCTACTGCATCTGTATTGATATTTACCATATGCAATAGTGATCAGGAAAGATATATATATTTTTATATATATAAACACAAACACACACTATAATCATTTCCTTGCTCTCTATCAAAAAAAATGAATGTCGTGTAGTATTGTCCACATTAAGTTTACTTTTAAGCTATGTCTGACAAACAGATTGACAACATAACCATAAATATATATCTCTCAACACACCGGCTGTATCCCACAGAGGCGGGGTGGCCCAAAAGGAAAAACGAAAGTCTCTCCTTTTACATTTAGTAATATATATAGGAGAATAGGTTACTAGCCCCTTGCTCCTGGCATTTTATTCGCCTCTTACAACACGCATGGCTTACGGAGGAAGAATTCTGTTCCACGAACTAGTAAGAAAATAGAAGAAAACCCAGCGGGGTGTGTATATATATGCTTGTACATGTATGTGTAGTGTGACCTAAGTGTAAGTAGAAGTAGCAAGACGTACCTGAAACCTTGCGTGTTTGCGAGACAGAAAAATGGACACCAGCAATCCTACCATCATGTAAAACAATTACAGGCTTTCGTTTTACACTCACTTGGCAGGACAGTAGTACCTCTCTGGGCGGTTGCTGCCTACTAACCTACTACCTAGGATCAGGCTTCATGTACTTTAATATTAAATTCAGTCAGCCAAAAATTCCTTTCCAGTTCTACCTTTACATCTTTGAATAGCTTTGATTTCCACAACTTAAAAACTTTCATAATTTTATATTTTACCTGGATGCAATAATAACCGAGTTTATTTGGCTACTAAATAAAATGAAAAAATGGTGTTAATACAGTGGACCCCCGCATAACGATCACCTACGAATGCGACCAATTATGTAAGTGTATTTATGTAAGTGCGTTTGTACGTGTATGTTTGGGAGTCTGAAATGGACTAATCTACTTCACAATATTCCTTATGGGAACAAATTCGGTCAGTACTGGCACCTGAACATACTTCTGGAGTGAAAAAATATCGTTAACCGGGGGTCCACTGTAATGTGAAAGAAAAAAAAAAAAAAAAGAAAAGAAAAACAGCAATTGAGGAAGGCACTGTCTATACTTGCATCTTGATTAAGTTCAGAATGAAGCCAAAGCGCTCCTGCGAGGTAACCTGAACGTCCAACAAGAAATTCGTCACCTCCACGAGAGAACCAATTCACTGGAGTGATAGTGGCAGCCAAGTGTTTAAATTCTGATACATACTTCTCTGATTCTTTTATATTTCCTGAAACAGATAAATGAGATACAATGTGTACTCTAATATTTCAATCAATGTTAACTAAAAGAAATTCTGGCGTGTTCCTATTATATATTTCACGAAATTATGTTAAAATATTATTAGCTAGGGGAATTTGTTACATCATGAGTAACTGCAATGGGTGCAAACTGTAAAGTAAAAAAAAATCAGCCTATCAATAATATAGTTAGGAACTTTGCATGTTTATCATAGTTCCTCATAATCATAATTTATTTTTCAAGAAGATACATTTGTGTTACAATGATTTCTTACATGGAAAAACTTGTAATTATGCAAAGTGTATTGGGCAGACAAATGATGACAACATTACAAGCACATTCCATACATAACAATATGCGATTAGCATGGTAATAGCAAGCCTAATGAACATATATACTATGAAATGCACAACAGATACACAGAACTGTATACAAATGAAAAGTAATTCACATCGCAATACTAAAACTAATGAACATATTTATCTATTAGTAAAAAAATAAATTAGTACTGCACTAATGAATTAACTTTTTATTGGTGTGATAAATTACAACAGAAAATAAATCATGTGGATTTTCATTCATGTTCTTTTTATTTTTCGCGTAATTTTGTTACAGTATTTTTTTCCACAGGTTATGTGAAAAATGTAACGTGTTAGACCAGGAATCACTGTAATGGGTGCAAACACCTCACTACCTTCTGGAAAATAAAAATTTACCTGTCAATCCTATGTGATGTTTTAATATTCTAAATAGTCAGGGACTTTGAATATTTATCATAATCATATACAAATGTGCATCATACACTACTAAGCCTAATTAATGCATTTATCACATACAGTACAAAAGAGACAGTATACAAATGAAAAGTACCTCACATGACAATACTAAATAATATATTACAATGAACATATTTAACAATTTAGTGTGTATGCTCTCATTTGGGCTTCCTACTAAGTTCTTAATCATTCTTGCCCATGTAGTGTTTCTTTTCTATTCCATGGAGAAATGGTCGAGAATTCTTCCTACATAAACAATGCTTGTCATAAACGGTGACTACTGGTAAAATTCTGGGAACAAAGGCCTAGTAACCTGTTTTCCTGCATCAATTACTAAAAATTAAAAGGACATTTTGAAGTTTAAGTGTGCATGGGTGTAATATCTAAAGATGAGAATAAAGAACTGATTGCTAATGTCTCACACACACACACACACACACACAAAAAAAAAAAAAAGATGTCTTAGCAAAACAAAGGGGAAGAATGGAAGAATTTCAATGGGGAGGACTACATGGGGTTAAATTGTGTGTATTTGAAAGTGGCAGAGCTAAAGGAGTATCAATAATATTGAATGATTAGTTATGAAAAGAAAAGAGGGGTATAGTGTTTAAATTCAGAAATTAGAATATGGATTAGAATAAGGGTTTATGTACCTGGAGAAAGAGGAGCATACAGGAAAAAGATTTTGAGAAGTGTTAGGAAATATTTAGGAAGACTTCAACCAAGTGAGAGAAGAATTGTTTTGGGAAATGCCAGGTATAAATGATAACGGGGTCTCTAATTGAATTTTATACATAGGAGGGGGTTTGGGATATTGGCAGTTTCGAGGAACATCTAAGCTGTTGTATCTGAGTTGTGATGAATGGTTTAGAAAACTGACAAGTTGAAGATTGAGACACTTGTGCACCATATGGGAATCTTTATTTAGGAAACGTTTTGCCACACAGTGGCTTCATCAGTCCAATACAAAGCAGAAAGGTGCAAGGAGAGGAGGAGATTGAGGTAATCAGTCCCTCAGCCTGGAGTCGATGCGTTCAGTCCATCAATCTTGTAGAATGTACAGCACAGGGCCATAGACGTGGCTTGTATACTGTAGTCAGGCGAGGCGAAGCAGGAGGAGGCGGGGTCATAGTGGTACCATCCACTAGTCGAAGTAGGTCTTCGTCCAAAGGTAGGACAAGTTGGAGAATACTTTGTATCAAGATCCCATGATGATGCAGTGTCACAGTTGTGATGAATGGTTTAGAAAACTGACAAGTTGAAGATTGAGACACTTATGCACCATATGGGAATCTTTATTTAGGAAACGTTTCCTAAATAAAGATTCCCATATGGTGCGTGTCTCAATCTTCTGTTGTATCTGAGCACCTCTGCAAAGACAGTGATTATGTATGAGTGATGGTGAAAGTGTTGAATGATGATGAAAGTTTTTTCTTTCTTTTTGGGTCACCCTGCCTCGGTGGGAAATAGCAGGTGCTAAAAAAAAAATATATAGAAAGAGGTTTGGAAACAGGCAATGCAGTACTTATTTGAAAAAGGAGACGATAAATAAATATGAGACACGATATAGGGCATAATGACAGTAGTCTGACAGACTATGTATTAGTAGATAAAAGGCTGATGGCTGGATGTGCATGTTATTAGAGGAGAAACAGATCATTTCTTAGTAGTAACTAGTGTAAGTATGAGGCAGTATACATTGAGTACAAGAATATCAGTGGGTAACAGCTTAGTGAAGTAATTGAAAGGCAGGCTTTTTAGAGTCCAGGGGAGCAAATGAACTTGGTAGCTAAAAACAAAAGTGGGGAGCTTGTAGATAGGGATTTGGAGATATAGTACTGGAAAGATGGAGAATATTTTGAGGAGCTGTCAAATGTTGATGAAGAAAGGGTGGAAGTGATTTCATGCATTGAGCAGGAAGGAGTAATATCTTGTAGGGGTAAGGAAGAGCCAGAAGCAAATGTGGGAAAGTGCATGAGGTAGCTGGTAGAATGAAAAATAGTAAAACAACTAGGACACAGGACTAAGACATAAAAATCAGGTATTCTATTCTGGATGACAGTTTTAGAGTGGCTGGTGTATTTGTTCAGTAAATGCATGAAAAAAAAAAAGGGAAGGCACTTTAATATTAGCACAGAGAATGTCTAGTTTCTTTGTGCAAGGGGACAAGAGAGTAAGAATCAGGGGTGTGCTAGAGTAGTGGTAGGTATCAGCTAATTTTGATGGTGCCAGTAATAGTACTGGTCTAAAACTGAGTAAAATATTGATATCAACCTAAAACTGAGTAAGGTATCTGTAAATATTTTGGTATTGTCTCATCCTAATAAGAATTATAGGGCACTAAACTTGATGAGTATACCAGGTAAAGTGTAAGGTAGAATTATCATTGAAAGACTTAGGCGACAGACCAGAATTAGAATTACAAAGGAACATGGAGGATTGAGAAAGAGTAGTGTATGTATAGACAAGTGCCTCATGCAGTTTTCCCTCCACACTTACATCTGGTTTTCTTTTACTCCTGCAAGATGTTATACCTCACTGCCCATTGCATGTAATCACTATCCCCCTTTTATCAATATTTAACAGCTTCTCAAAATACTTCCTCTATCTTCCCAGTACCTCCACCTCCCATAACACTGTACTACTAATAATGATATTTTAAGAATGTGAATGTAGTCTAATTAGAAAGGCAATATTCTACACTATTGTAATAGTTTTATATACAGTAAGGCCCCACTTTATGGCGTTTCGCCTTATGGTGTTCTGCTAATACGGCAATTTCAAATTATGACCAAAATTTGCTATACGACAAGCGGTCTTTCAAATACGGTGTCCCCCACCCGGTTTGTTTACATTTTCCGTGATCACATCTATTATGTCAGGAAACTTTCCAAAATTTCAAGTGTTTTAACCCTTTGAGGGTTTCGGACGTACTAGTACGGCTTACGACCCAGGGTTTTTGACGTACTAGTATGCCTAAATTCTAGCGCCCTCAAATCTAGTGGGAGAAAGCTGGTAGGCCTTCATATGAAAGAATGGGTCTATGTGGTCAGTGTGCACAGTCTAAAAAAAATCCTGCAGCACACAGTGCATAATGAGAGAAAAAAAAACTTTGACCATTTTTTTGGAATAAAACAGCGACTTTGCACTGTATTTTCGTATGGTATTTATTGTTGTATTCTAGTTTTCTTGGTCTCATTTTATAGAATGGAAGACATATTACAGAAATTGAGATGATTTTGACTGGTTTTACAATGAAAGGTACCTTGAAATTGAGCTCAAAGTAGCAGAAATGTTCGATTTTTACCAAATTTCAAAAGTAAACAAATCGTGCCAAGCATGCAATACACGTCAACTGGTGAGTCTAATATTCTTTCACAAGTGCACCAATAATATTTATACCATTTTTTACACTAATGCAGTAGTCTGCATAACAGTAAATCTTATATTTTTTGTGAGAATAAAAATTCAAAGTGGAAAGCAAAAGAACATAAGAGGGGCCTTGAGACGTGACTAATGACCAGAGGAAATGTCATTTTAGTGCCAGGGATGTCTTTCTTGTTTATTCTGGACCCTATTCGGAAATTGGCATCTTTTGAAATTTGTGTGAAATTGGCAAAATTGCTAAATTCTGACCACTGTACTGGATAGTTGTATTTCATAAATGGGTGGTTTCCTGCACCCATTCGATAGAAAAAATGGATTATTATTATTATAATCAAAGGGGAAGCGCTAAACCCAGAGGATTATACAGCGCCTGGGGGGGATGTGGAAGGCATTCAGGCTTAATTTGGGGAACTGGAGCACAGATCCAATTCTCTAAATCAAGAGCCCCTCACCAACATCAAGGAACCTTCCTTGAGGGGAGAAAAAATGGAGTTCTAGCGAAATATTCATGTTTTTTTGTCGACTAGTACAGTGAAATTGGCCGAAAATGGGGCTCAAAGTGGGCAAAATCACCAATGTGTAAACATCGCCGAGACCGCTAACTTTGCGAGAGCATAATTCCGTAAGTTTTCCATCAAATTTCAAACTTTTGGTGTCCTTATGATCGGGAAAAGATTCTCTATCTTTTCATAAGATAAAATATTTTTTTTTTTTTTAAATTTGGCCGACCCTGAGAACGAGTTTCGGAGAGGGTCTGTCGACCCTCAAAGGGTTAAAGTTTCTGCATATTTTATATGTACTCTGATAATTATACTTATGTGTACCT